CCCACAACACCCAAACACCCCGCCGTAGCCATCTTTGGCCTCGAGAAAGGGATGTCAAGAGCCGTTCCCCCCAGGAAATCCGTCATGAAGGCCTTCCATTGGAAGACTGGTGGCAATTATCATAAATTATCGCAACCCTCCCAAGTGAGCTGCCTTTTTTGCGGCCGCTTCCGTTCTTTCCAGGGGGTTTCAACTTCAGAGGTTGGCTCATTTCCCGCCTAGAATGCATTGCTTGGGAGTGATTCGGAGAATGGTAAGACTTCCCTAAAACTCATTAGAGGAGTGACTTGGAGAACGGTAAGATCATGTGGCCAGTGATACCTCGGCGGCTTGTTGACCTAGCCTTCTCACCCCCGTCTTTTTTCCGAGCTCGCCAGGTCCTCTATGCGCCCATGTGCGGCCTGGTTCTGGTGACCAAGGCGGGATCGGGGGTTGGGTGTCCGCAAACGACCCTGATTGCCAAAATGTACGGGTCGATCCTTCTTTCAGAAGTCACATCTTTCGCCCAGGTGTTTGCAGATGTTCTGAAGAGAAGGTGTTTTAAACGGAATGGGGTAGGGCCCGTACGGCTATCGACTTCCCATTTTCAGTCAACACCACACAAAAGGCTGAGGCCCCTTTGGGAAGAGCTGTTGGAAACATGTAAGTGCACAGACCCGCTTTCCAAAAGGAGTTGCCACGTTCCAGAGGCAAAAGCTGTAAATCGAGACAACCCTATTGGAACAATGTACGGGTTCCCCCCCTGAAGCACAAGAAACGCGTTGCGAACGATGTACAGGTTCCGCCCTACCGCCTCAACAGTGATGGTACTCGCTGGAAGTGGTGAAGACTACTCTCTTTGCAAACACATGGCCCCGTACAAGAGGGCAATGGAGTTTTCCGGGCAAGCCAGGGATTCGGAGGAACAGCGAGTTGAGGCCTTTATAACCGGCAACCCGACCCACAGAAGGTCTTAGGAGTTGGGACACCACTCGAAAAGCACGAAGAAGGACACATAAGGTTTGCATAGCTGGTAGGTGGGACATTGGAGGTTTGGGTGAGCCCCAAGATCTTGGAGAGGGTCGGGAAAGGAAACCAGAACTTGGCTGCAAAGCACGAGACACCTGGCACCATGCTTTCATTGTCTAACCTACTTGGCTGATGGATGACTGCCCCGCTTTCCATGGGTAACGTCCCTCACTTGCTACGGTAGAACCCACCAAGAGGACTTATCAACTGAGGACATGAACCACTTACCTGACGCGGGACCCGTGGTCATTTCAGTAGTGATTCATCTTGTTGCCTGTGCCATCCAAAAAAAGAAAAGAACAACAACTGGCAAGAGACCCCCTTCGGGCTACCTGGTGGTCCTACAAGTCCTCATGGGTTTGAGACAGGTGATGGGATGCCCCGACTTCTTTGTTCACTGGCCGGAAAGGGCGATCAGGAGAATTGGTCCAAAATGATGAGGTTTGGTAACCAAATATTTGCCAGCCTATGTTCAATTTGGGGGGGGGGGGTGGCACATTGGGCAAGCGAGTTCTCAATTACAAGATCTGAAATGCATGTAATATACGCGTGTGTCAGTGTGATCTTAAAATCACCTTGCAAACTCTGTTTGTTAGAATCCTTTGAGGGTCTCAAAGGGCCATGGGTTTGGAATGTATGTACCAAACTCAAGGGCAGGGAATCCTGGTTCCCTGCCTTTTGTGGCTTGCAAAGCATTGGGCATGCGTTTAAAAGGTATGTGCGAGAAACAAGGCCACATCATATTAGTAAGCCCCCTTTCCCTTGGTCGGTCGTGGTACCTTTGGTTTCATTTTGTATACCAGTTTGTGATCTTGTGACGCTCCGAAGAAAGATAAAGGGTACCAATGCCCCCACAAAGGGCAGTGTCAAAATCATTTGCTGTTCAATGTTTGAACTCCATACCGGAGAGAATGGGTCGGGCAAAACCAAAGTCCAGAAAACATAAGAGTGTGTCTTTTCTTGAGGGTGCCCCCTTTTTAGTCTTGGTTCTTTAACTTGCTGGTGCTCAGTAGGGAACAAGAAATGGAATGACCCCCATAAACCCTCCAACTGGTGGATTCCTTCAAGGGGACCGAAGCCTGGGCTCATTCCATTTCTCGTTCCCTATCGCACCGATCGCAAGCTGAAGCTAGGCCCCCCAGTAGCCTTTCTTTGGAGACTAGAGAGAAAAGTTGGTACCCTTGTTCTAACCTCTCTACCGGAGGACCTAGAAAATGTTTGCTTCGAAGAGAGGGGAAGGCAGGATGCGCCAGGTGGAGGACCAAGCACTGCAGCTGCTGTGCCCTGCACCCCCGCCGCTGCCGGCCTCCTACCTCCTGGCCCGGGGCGGTCCGGTTTCGCTGGTCGGGTCAGGTAAAAACCCGCGTTTACGGCTGAGGACGAGGTAAATAACGGGGTGGGGACCCGGGTTGGTGGCCAGATTCTGCTTGACCCCGAAAGGGTGTCCTTTCTTGGGTGAAAATGGGTTTGAGGACTTCGCACGAAAGTCGCCCCAGCTAGGAGTTCGTCTTGAGGGCTGAATCGGTTTCAATTGCTTAGGACCTTAAGACGCTACCCTCGGGGGAATCTTCCAGCCCTTTCCGCAGGTCGGGGACTTCAAGAACTTGAAGTTCATCGACATCTGAGTGGAACGCGTTGGGCGCGTTGCGTCGGTCAAACCTGAAATCAAGCGCTTCATTTCAGAAGGAGACAAGGTTCATTAATCCCGGGCCGGACATCTGCAGATGTCGTTTCTGAAAACATCACCTTTTGGGCCAATTTCAAGTGAGCTTCCATTTGGTGGTTGTTTTTGGTTCGTAGGTTGGCCATGGAAAAGAAGCCATGCCTATCTGGTGCGGATGGCCCGAGATCGGCCAAAAGCAAAAAGATGCGCGCCTGCCTTGCTTGAGCCGATTCGGGGGCAGACGTCCGCAGTAGATATGGTTGTTGTTTGTTCTGGATGTCTTTGGCGGGTGGTTTAAAGGGCCCCTGAGATGGTGGTCGCTTAGTATACGAGGCAATGCTTGGCTTGCTATGCCTTGCTTGCGCACACACATGCAATAAATCGAGGGACAATTAAGAGTTGTCAAAAGGAAGAGTCTTCGGAAGAAGCCCGATGTCTCCAAGTCAGCCTTTTGTTTCTTCTTCTTCTTCTTCGAGACCAAATCTCGAAACTTCTGCTGGAACCCTGAGACCACTCCTACCCCCCAATTTCCCGAACACCTCCCAAACAGCCCCGACCCACACCTCCAGTCTGAATCCAATCTCACAATCTACGGTGCTCCAGAGGTATGTTTGGGCATGGCGCAACATCGTGCTTTGGGTGCCGGGAGGCGCATTCAAGTCCCGCATTGTTTTGAAGCCTTGAGTTTCAGGATCTTCCTGTCCCTTCTGCACGGATTTTAACGTCCGACACTTGCCGGGGTTTGTTGTTTTGTTTCGATCTTTTCTGCGTTTTGGACCCCAGAACCCGGAGGAAGCCAAAAAACAGATAGCCCACAGGACCCGCGTATCGGCAGCATTTGCGGATAAAATAGGGCCGCTGTTGAAAGCGCGCGCCGCGGGGCGCGCGGTCCGGAGGCCGGGACTGGATGGTTTGCTGCGTGATGTTTGGGCGTGAAGCTGCGTGTTCCATTTAGGTCTCTGGTTGATTTTGCGGATACGCTTTTTTGGAGTCGTAGGGAAATCGCTGCATTGGGAAAAGCAGGTAGACAGGGGTCCGTTTTTGGGACCAGCCCAAAGGCGTTGTTGCCAAAACTGGGCAGGTTTTTGTGTATGGCCAGGGTAGAGACGGCAGATACCACCCGCGAACTCAGCCCTTAGGGTCTTTGGGTCTGACTCCCAGGCCATGTGCGAGATGATGATGCAGCCCCTCTCGAAGCCCTTTCGGCTTCTCACAGCAACTTGGCCTCGGTTGAATGTCCAGGTCGGGCAGATCGCTTCCAAAAGGGGACGTCTTCCCTCTGTATCAACCAGGGGTTTCAGAAGGCTGGGTCATTTGATTCCTGCTTTCTGACGGGTAAAACCAATGACACGTGTTGGGCAAACTTTGAAACAACCAGCCCCTATTCGTCCCCTCAGGGAAACCAACAGAAGGAAGTAGTTTGAAAAGGTTTATACAAGGGGCTGGTGGGCCCAACTCTGGCGTCCAGTGGCGGGCCATTTGTCACCCCGCTTGGGAGCGGGCTTCCCCATAAAGAGCATGGCACTTTGGTTCTTGTTTTTATATACTTCAAACTCAGCAAACATGTGCTGCAGTCTTTGTGAGTCGATGTTAATATTCTGTTCAGAGAAAACGACACTTTGGTGTGGTGTCTTTGGTTACCTTGTACATTTCACGTCTTGTTCCATCCCCAATTAGAGATGTGATGTTTGCATCGTCTTCTAGCTGGTCTTCCTTTTGGTTTCCCTTTGTCACCTACCCAGAAAGGATTCCGAGCCTTGGAAAAGGACGTGGCTCAGGAGGTGTCCTTGCCCGAGTTCAACGGCTTGCTGCAGAAGGCTGAGGCGCAAGCTGCCCTTCAGCCCCTCTAGTCAAGAAACCCCCCCACACACCAGGGCCCCCCCAAGCCTAGAGGGTTCCAAAGGTTCCTTTGGGGGGTCCAATTCCTCTTTGGGGGCCCCTGACAGCAGAAATTTGGGGGTTGGTCTGAAAGTTGGTGTCATTTGAAGAAACCCGCAGCCAAAGAGGGTAGCCTTCGGCCTCAAAAAAAGACGATCGAGCCACCCAACGGGACAGACTCAAAACGGCGAGTCAGGGCCGCGACAAGTTGGCGCGGATCTTCCAGTATTCCGCCCGCTTGTTGGTGGGTACCGCCGCCTACCTGCAGCCCACAGCCCGGGACCCGACGACCCGATTTAAATCGAAGCAGAGCAAGGGGTTGGCCCAAATGGAAGAAAGGTCAACCAAAAACATTGTACCCTCAAAAAAACTGTCTCCGTAGACATTCCTTGCTTGTTATGGCTTGGTGGTTTGGCAGCTAGGGCTGCATACCCTACTCTTCTCCTCTCCTCACCTTGGTTTGTTCCCATATAAACCTCAATGTTCACTTGGATGAATTTTGCTCGCTCCCTTTTCGAGGGAGAGAGAGTGAGAGAGAGAGAGAGAGTTGATGCAAGTAGGGTTGATTTTCTCGGATTGTGATCTTCCGGATGTTTCCAAAGTTAACATAGGGCCTTAATGTGGAGAAGGGGGAGGGTGGCTTGGGGAGCTGGGGTGAGCGGGTGACCTCCGCATGCATTCATACTTTCTGGCTCTGGATCGAATCCTGTACCACTTAAAATGGATGACATTTGCGAATACGGGGCTTGTCCCCTACCATCCACCACTCCTATCCTATCATCCACCAACCATCCTACCAACGAATCCTACCATCCTATCAACTGTTTCGAGTCGCCACCTTCTCACCGTCGCGACACGAGACTCCGAGGCGGGCACGTTGCTAGCTCGAGTGGAGGGCCATGCCAGGCGGGAATCGGGATGGTCCTGCGCTCGTTGCTTGGAGCAAGTGGGTTATACCCAGGCCTGATATATATATATATATATATTATATATATATATATATATGTACATACATATATATATATATGTATGTATAGCTAGGATAAGTGGGGTGAGTTGGTGTACCATGGTTATCACCTGCTTACTAAGTGGGTTGAACATGCAAGCAAGTAGAGGATGTTGACAAGGATTGTAAGGGTTTCCATACATGACCATGGCACATATGACCCATGGTCTTGGTTGGGTCCTTTTTTTGGAGCGCTTGAACACACATATGACCGTTGTTGTTTTTTTTTGGGGGGGGGGATGCAGGTTGATACGACTTGCTTACGCAAACAGTGGATGCACAAGATCCACCTCGCACCAGTCGGTAGGTGGTGTCGCCAAGTATTCATAGGCTTTCATCATGGGGCGCCAAGACTGACACGACGGTTGCCATCAAAACCTCACTCGCATGGTAGCTGTTGCTCGGGGAAGTCCCCCTTGAAGCAGTCGTTGCACGTTTGCATAGTTCTGCGGCCATTGCAGAGGCCTCTGAATCACTGAAGGGTTGCGCCTGCTGTGGCTCTGAATTCACTGTTGGATGTTTCGAACAACGCCGCAGCCTGAAAATTGGAAGTCAGAGGAAACATTTTTTGACCTCCCCCCCCTGCCGCCTCAGAACTCCTTGAAGAAGCCCTTCCAAGCTTTTCCTGGGGCTGGCAACGGGTTTCCTCCCTAAGTTAGCAGCCTATGGTCGCAGCTCTGGGTAAGTTTGCCGACTGACTCACTCGACCAACACATCAGACAATATGTCAAACATTTTAGTTTTGGGGTGGGGGCAAAAACTTCGGTGGCCTTGAAAATCTCAGATCTCGGCCCATGGTTAGTCCCATGTAGGTCAATTTGGATTCTGACCTTTCGGTTTTCCCTATGGCTTCCCAGTTCAGTCCAGGACCCCAGTGTTGTAGTGCCAGGCCCTTTGGGCAGACGAGACATTTTTTGCATCAGGTACGGTGCATGTGGAGTCATCACAATTTTAAGATCACCGAACAAAATTAAGCAACCACAAAAAGATTGTCTTCCGGGGTGGTTGCCAGGGGTTGGCCAAGCTTTTGTGTAAACAGCGCTTTTCAAGTGGAGCCACAAGGAGGCTGTTTAAACAATTCGTGTTTGAGCATGTTGGAGCAGGGGCTTGAATCGCCCCATTCCATCTCCGCAAAATGATGACTTTTTTCCCTTTGGCTTCCCGTTCAACCCCAAAAGGGCTACCCTCGAAAAACAAGCAGAGCCAAATGAACGGTTGGGACGCGCTTGGTGCGTTTCGCGATGGTTTCAACCGCGTTTCCTGAGAAAAACCGATCCGCCGACGGATCGATCCCGGTGTGGGGAAGCCGAGCGCGAAAGTTCTCCCGAAATGCTTCGCCAGAACGGTGATGGTTCAGCTCGCCGGGGCCCGGCGCACGCATCGCTGGTGCAAGGAGCCGGTATGGGCTCTGGGGCCTTTTCGTGGCTGGGTGTGACCGAATCGACCCCCAAAACTGGAGCTTTTTGGTTTCACAGATTCGGGCTTTTCCCATGGGTGATCGACCTTTTGCGGAACCCAGAAGGCTGTCATGCCTTCGCCATACTTTGCGTGTTTTTGAGGGATATCAAGGTCGGCAACTAGGGGTGTTTCCCTTCAGAGTTTGGAAGCATCATAGGCCCAGTTTAAACAAGGGGTATTTGAAGGAAGTTTTAAGGTGTTGGCCTCCGGAGCGTTTGACCCTACATGATCGATAGCTTACCAAATTGGGACCGACTCAATCTCCCATGTCCTTTATGGGTGAGGGAATCCCCCTGTCTCCCCGCACACCCGTAAAGTGTGAACTTCAAAAGACAACTTTGGCACAAGCGACCCATTTCTAGAACCAACCAAAAAGGAGTTGCTGTTTTTGTTGTTGTTTGAAAACCATCCAGAAGGGTTCCAACCACGGTTGAGCCAATCCCCTGTTTAAACATGAAGCACCCATTCTTTAAACAATCATTTTGCTTCTCCTTTGAAGGTGGCCCAGATCTGATTTTCTTGAAACATAGTTTGCCCAACCCTGCTTGATGTTTTCGGGAGATGGCGAAGGGCCACGTGCGACGCCAATGGAATCCCCTTCAAAGTCATAGAGTCATAAGGTAGTGGGAGTCAAGCACCTTGGTTTCACCCAGTAATGCCCTTTTACCCTTTTTGGGGGAGGGTGCCCATACGAGAAGGGACTACCGAAAAAAAGGGTACCCTTATTCTAACCTCTCTACTGGAGGATCTAGCCTTGGTTTCACAGATTTCGGGTGATGGTTCCAACCGATCCTCGAGAGAGACCCATCGGAGCAGTGCTCCTCTTCGGGTATCGCCCAGGAGTTTCCCGTGCTAATGGCGCTGCCGCAGTCCCCGCGCTCAGAGAATCTCCAACTTGGGTTGATCATGTAGCAGGGTCCCTTTACAGTTAGAGATAGCCTCTCCCGTCCGCGTTGTCCTACCCCCCTCCCCACACTTTCAAGCGCCTTTTAAATACACCTATCAAATCACCCCATTTTCAACCCCCAAATTGAAACACCTACTAAGTTAATCATGAGAAAAATCAGTATTCTCATCATCAACTTCATTTTTTAGTCCAATTCACCACCATCAACCTGAACAACTTTATTTCTTCTCAAAGCTGGATTATACAAAGGCATTGTCATTTTGAGTTCTTGTATCCTCTCTTGACCTTCTTGAAAATATTTGTCCTTGAATTCTTGTGTAGGTGCTTCTTCAACTAATCTCTGATAATCTGCTTTCAAGTGTTTGAGCATATTATCTTGGTGGCAACCTCCAACCAAATGGAAATCCCAAATCTCTGGGTTCACTCTTCTTTCACAAACATGACAATACAAATATCCATTATTCGCTGTCCTCTCTCGCTTCTTCGCTCTACATTTATTACATGTCTTGAACCCGTTAAATTCAGTAATTGGTTTATTGACTCTACAACTGCTACACTCTGAATTCTCCATACTATGTTATGAATACATTTCCTTAAATGATCTTTCAAGATTACATACCTAAAACATGAATAAACCCAACCTTGTTCATCCAAATAACACATTGTCAATTATCACTCCCCGAAAAATGGTTAACCAATGGAAAAGGGAGAATTAAAACCGTTAACCCAAATCTTGAAAACAATCCCAGTAAAATATGGATGGCAAAATGCGGATGGGAAAGGCCTATGTAGGAAAGCACCACCACGGCTTATACGGGAAACCTATACTATAATTACAACATATAAGATCTTACATGTTATAAGTATAGCAAAACTATGGTATCAAAGGCTTTAATCTATGTATTTCCATGGGTTGTATTCGTTTCTTCTGTTCCTTCCTTAACTCTTTTGTTGCTTTTACTTTGTCTTTGCATTCCTTACATGTTTTGTAAAATATATCTTCCATTTTAATTCTATCATACATTTTGTGAAAATCCTTTCTTGGCTTTGCTTCGTCGCATTTACTGCAATGATAAACCATTGTGCATCCTGTTTCTTCTTCGTCATCTGTAGAACTCATAATATTAGTTATACCAATATGTCTTTAAACGGATTTTCAGAGAAAAATGTTTTCAATCAAGAATAAATCCCTGTATCTTCATCATAGTCAATTTGATAAAATGTCATAGTTGAAGCCTTCGGTTCTTTAATTTCTTTGTTATTAAGTTTGTTTAAATAAATGTTTCTTTTATTTTTATATTCACCATTGGTTCGATCTACTTCCTTACTTTGATAATTGTTTGTTAATGGTTTCTTCTTTTCCATTTCGTGTAAGATTTCTAAAATATGTTTATTCTGTTCCAAAACCTTATTCAGTTTTTTAACAATCTTTTCTAATCCTTCATCCATGTAAATATATATATTATATTATAAAATAAAACTTTTAAAACTAAACTTTTTATTTTACAAAATCATATATCATTATAAGTCAATTCAAAATTAGTTATTGTATAACTAGTTAAATGATTATTCAATTTACCAATTAAATTACAAATAATAGTTTTTCTAAATTTTGAATATTTATGAAACTTTTCAATATTATCTGTAATATAAATTATTAAACATTTAATACATTCAAAAACATTAACAACATTAATATTACTATTCTTGTAAATATTATTCATTTTTCTCAATGTAATTTCATAAAACTGAATAGCATTCTTATTATCATAATTAGCAATAAATCTTAAAGTATATGAATATACTCTTTTACAATAGAATTTTAAATCTGATTGTTCAAATAAATCAGCATAATTAATAGAATTATAAAACATGTTAAAATCAATTTTGCTATTTCTAAAGTCATTAACAAAATTAATTAATATATCATTTTCGTTATATTCTTCAATAAAATTATTCAATTTCAATTCTTTTACATCAATGAATTTAATAATATTATTTATAACATCTTGCATTATAAATAATAATAGAAATAATTTTAACTACTATTTTTTCATCATTTCGCGTATAGTTTCCTGAGTTTCCTTATCACCATTATCGGATGGCGATGCATGCCTTCCCCATTTGATAGCAATATTATGAACATCTGTTTCTAAGTTTATACTGTCTTTAGTTTTATCAATATTAATTTTCTTATCATTCTTACTTAGTTTGAAACTGGCTGGAATACAACTGCATTTGCAGTTCCCTTTCTTTGATATTTCTAATTCGTTCTTCATCTCTAACATCTTCTTACACATAGGACAAGCAAACTCAACAACTGCTGTTTTATTAATAACTTCTTCACTGTCGTCGTCTGCTGATGAAATTGTTGTTTCTGTTTTATTCTTTTTGTTTTTCTTTCTTCCCATTTATATTAATATTTACATTTTTATTTTTGATATATTGTATCACAAACTTAATTAATTCTAAAACAAAATAACATATTTTTTTAAATCTATTATCAGTTATAACAACTTGTTCTATATTCTCTACTTCATCTATTATATCAATATAATCTGAATAGCTTCTATTCATATAAAATAATAAATATAAAATATTTTCTAAATAACTTTAATATTATTTTATTATGTCAGATGTTCCAATAATAAAGCCAATAAACATAACTGAATATGAATTCAAACAATCTAAATATGAGCACGTGCCAAAATTACCATTTAGAAGTATTATAGTTGCTTCTTCGACAGGTGGCAAAACAGTATTGGTTCAGAACCTTATCTTAAATGTTTATAGAAATTCATTTGCAAGAATATTTATATTTTCCCCCAGCGTTCATAATGACCCAACTTTTACAGAAGTAAAGAAATATATTAGGGATGAACTACATGTAGATGATGAAAAAGAACAAATCTATTTTGATAATTATAATCCAAGTGATTTAGAAAATGTAATCGAAAGACAGAAGAAAATAATTAATTATATGAAATCTAAAAAAATAAAGAAACTACATTCAATATTAATCGTTATAGACGATCATGCCGACGATCCTAAATTTGTTAGATATAGTAAATTATTACATGGATTATTTACAAGAGGCAGGCACGATGCAGTAAGTGTGATTTGTTCAACACAGAAATATAATGTGTTGGCGCCTATCATTCGTTTAAATGCCAGTTCATTATATATTTTTAGGTTGAAAAATGCCAGTGAATTAATGAGTTTTATTGAAGAAAATAGCGCCATTGTTGACAAACAGCAATTATTAGATATGTATCATCAAGCCGTTAATTTTGCTCCATATTCTTTTTTCTACGTGAATATGAATTCAAAAGACATTAACAACATGTTTCATATCAATTTTGAACAGGCATTTCAAATTACAAATGATGAATAAAGATATTCTAATTTAATATAATATAATAATATGCTAATGAAACTATGTAGATGTGGTGGATTTTATCGTAGAGGTAATTACAAGTTTCATACTAATTCTTGGATACATAAACTTTATAAAGTGTTAAAAAGACGACCAACAGACGAGGAATTATTAAGATTTCAAAATAACTTTGTTGATGAAGAAGATTTAATAGATGATATGTGTAGCAATGCCTCAACAAAATTACCAGAAGATGAAATGACAGATTATGATAGTAATTAATAATATTAATGTATGTTAATATTATCAATTTAGAATAAGGAATAGCTACATAAATTTAAGGCAGGAAATTTATAATATGTTTTATCTTTTTTACATTCATTAACTTTTTCTAATTTATTTATTATTGCTTTCAATGAATTTATTTGTAGAATATCAATTCTTGACATTTCACTTATCGTATTTACATCTATATCTTTTATTACTTTAATAGCCTCTTCATCATCAATTTCTACTGGTTTTGATTTACTTGAACCCATTATATATAATATTATTTAGATTTTAATTTTTCAAAATTATATTTTTGTTTTTCTTCTCCGTCTTCTTCTTCTTCGTCTTCAGTTGGTGCTGGTATTTCTGTTGGACTTTCAGATGAAGAACTATGAACAGTAATAGGTGGAGAACTATGAACACT